ACATCTTGCTAGGTGCCTCCGGGCCTGGCACGACCAGCGGGCAGCCTCAGTTGGCAGCGTGGCCCCTCCTGGGCACCTCCAAGTCCAGCGTGACTAGCAGCCACCTGTAGATCGCTCTGTAGCACGTGCCAGGGGGCCCCAGAACCAGCGCACCCAATAGACAGCTTCAGACCAGGTGGGAACACAACCCAGCCACCTCCACGACTAACGCACCCAAGGCGTAGACTCAGAAGGCACCAAAGCCCCACTGCAACAAGTTCCGACCCATGGGGTTGGCTCCTGCACAGCAGCTCCTTCACTGCGGTGGCAGCCGGTCCTTGCAGCTGATTGGCCTGGGGTCCACTCCCAGTGACGCCGAAAACAGTCCAGGCTCAGCTACAATGTGAGGGTACACACAGCCCACACAGGGGCACACCTGGAGCGCCCAGGTCAGGTGACCGGGGAGGCTGCTCTGCTGGGCCTCACAGGACACCTACTCCATAGGCCACGTCAGGTACAGGAGATGGAGCAGCTCTACCTAATACATGGAAACAAACTCAGGAAAGCAGCCAAAATGAGGAGACAAAGAATGTGACCCAAATGGAGGAACAGGAGAAATCTCCAGAAAAAGAACTCAGTGACATGGAGGCAAGCAAAGTACCAGGTACAGAGTTCAAGACAGTGGTTATAAGGATGCTCAAGGAGCTTAGTGAGAACTTCAACAGCATGAAAAAGAATGAAAGTCATTTAAAAAGTCAGAAATGCAAGCACCCTAACTGAAATGAATACATGACAGGGAGTCAACAGTGGAGCAGATGAGGCAGAGGATCAAGTCAGCGACTTGGAAGATAAGGAAGCAGAAAACACCCAACAAAGCAGCAAAAAGAAGAAAGAATCCAGAAAGATGAGGATAGTATAAGGAGCCTCTGGGACGACTTTGAGCATATCACCTTCACGTAATGAGGGTGCCAGAAGGAGAAGAGGAAGAGCAAGAAATTGAAACTTATTTGACAAAAATAATGACAGAAAGCTTCCCTAACCTGGTGAAGGAAATAGACATACAAGTCCAGGAAGCACAGAGTCCAAAACAAGATGAGCCCAAAGAGGCCCACTCCGAGGCACATCATCGATAAAATGCCAAAGGTTAAAGACAAAGAAAATCTTAAAGGCAGCAAGAGAAATACAGTTAGCCACCTACAAAGGAGCTCCCATAAGACTCTCAGCAGATTTCTCAACAGAAACTTTGCAGGCCAGAAGAGACTGGCAAGAAATATTCAAAGTGATGAAAAGTAAGGCCCTACAACCACAATTATTCTACCCAGCAAAGCTGTCATTAAGAATCAAAGGACAACCCTGGCTGGTGTAGCTCAGTGGACTGAGCGTGGGCCTGCGAACCGGACGATTGCAGTTTGATTCCCAGTCAGGGCACATGCCTGGGTTGCAGGCCAATTCCCAGCGGGAGACACTTGAGAGGCAACTGTGCACTGATATTTCTCTCCCTCTCTCCTTCCTGCACCCTCTAGAGATAAATAAATAAAATCTTTAAAAAAAAAAAAAAAGAATCAAAGGACAGATAAACAGCTTCCCAGGCCAAGGAAAAAAGTTAAAGTTTATCACCACCAAACCAGTATTATGAGAAATGTTAGAGTCTTCTTTAAAAATAAAAAGGAAAAGAAAAAGATAAAAAATATGAATACAATGACAATAAATACATATCTATCAACAATTAAATGTTCCAATCAAAAGGTATAAGGTGACTGAATGAGTAACAAATAAGATGCTTACATATGCTGGGGGGGTTTAGATTTTATTTATTTTAGAGAGGGGAAGGGAGATAGAGGGGGAGAGAAACATCAATGTGTGGTTGCCTCTCACATGCCCCCCACCAGGGACCTGGCCTGCAACCCAGGCATGTGCCCTGACTGGGAACCAAACTGGTGACCCTTTGGTTTGCAGCTGGCACTCAATCCACTGAGCCACACCAGCCAGGACTACACATGCTATTTAAAAGGGACTCACTTCAGACTGAAAGACACACACAGACTGAAAGTAAAGGGATAGAAAATGATATTTCATGAAAATGGAAACAGACAAAAAAAAAAGCTGGAGTAGAAATACTCAAACCAGACAAAATAGACTTTAAAACAAAGACTAGAACAAGAAACAAAGAAAGACCCAGCCGCCAACGCCAGTTCTGGGCATTTATCCAAATTAACCCAAACAACTGAAAAGACACGCAGCCCTGTGTTCACTGCAGCATTAAATACAACAGCCACGATATGGAAGCAGCCCAAGTGCCTGTCAATAATAGGTGAGTGGATAGAAAAGAGGTGGTACATATACAATGGGATCTAACTCAGCCCTAAAAAGGAAGGAAATCTGGCCATCTGCAAAACCACGGGTGGACCTAGAGGGTGTTATGTTAAGTGAAACATGTCAGACAGAGAAAGACAGACGCGATGATTTCACTTATACGTGGAATCTAAAAAACAAAACAAATGAACAGCAGAACAGAAAGAGACTCATAGATGCAGAGAACATTGTGAAGGTTGCCAGATGGGAGAAGGGTTGTGAGGAGGGGAGAAAAGGGGGAGGGGATTCAGAAGTACAGATCAGTTACAGAGGGGTCATGGGAAGTAAAGTACAGCACAGGGAACACAGTCAGTAACGTCGTAATAGCCGCGTGTGGTGTCAGATGGGCACCGGATTTATTGGGGTGACCACTCCATAAGTTACACAGATATCTAATCACTGGGTGTACACCTGAAACTAAGATAATGTACATCAAATGTAATTGAAAAAAATTTTAAATCATGTTGACAATACATGTTAAATTTCTAAACCAACAAAATAAATACAATTTGTTGTGATAAATGATTAAAAAGTTTGAAAAGGGGGGCATTGTACACCCCACTGAGAAAAGCATTAGTCATAGCTGTCAACAGGCGGAACAGCCCACAGTCCGCCCCCAGGTGAACACATCAGCACAGCGCGGTCCCTCCGCACGATGGAATCTTATTCCGCCTCAGAAAGGAAGAAAATTCCAACATACACCACACCACGATGCGCCTTGAGGACACCGTGCTAAGTGAAATAAGCCAGTCACAAAGCAAACACCCTGTAGGATTCCACTTAGTGAGGTTCCTACCGTCAACAACTCATAGACAGAAGGCAAAGAGGCAGCTGCCCAGGGGCTGGGGCAGGAAACCAGTCTCTCTGCGCCCCGTAGGTTCGGCTGAGGGAGGCAAAAAGGCCCTGGGGACGGATGGTGGGGATGGTGGGGATGGTGGGGATGGTGGCGATGGTGGCGATGGTGGCGATGGTGGTAACAGTGTGAATGTACGTAATGCCACTGAACTGGACACTTAAAAGTGGTTAAAATGTACACTCTGTTATTTTAGCACACCCACACGGGGGCGGGGAGGGAACACCACAAAGCCAATGTTGACGACTGGAGAATCTGGGTCAAGGTACATGGGAGCTCGTAGTAGTTTCTACTTCGTGGTAAGTTTGAAGTCAGTGTCGGACAGTCATCTGTGCCAAAGAGAACTCCAGCTCCTCCCGCAGCGGCCTGTCTTGGCAAATGGCAGCTCTAGCTCTCCACTTGCTCAGACCAAAGCCCGGGGGGGGGGGGGGTTGGGGGGGCCACCCTGGACTCTCAGTCCTGGATGTAAACTCCGCTGCTCCCAGGCCAGTCTGAAACCTCCCTGGCGAGGAGCCCCTCCCCGCTCCGGCGCAGAGCTGGCGTCCTTCCGCCCATGTCCAGCACAACACCCTGAGGGACTCCGTGGAATCAGACGCCAGGTCCTGTCACCTGTCTGCTCAGAACTCTGATGCCTTACGGTGGCCTCCAGGCAGCCACGGGAAGGAGAGGGAGGTCCTCGCGGCCGCATTTCCCAGCCCTCCCCCGGCTGCTCCCTCCCCACGGTCCTCCCCCTGCCCCTGCAGGGAGCTGTGCAGGCTTCTCCTGCAGGGCTTCTGACCCAGGCGCCAGGCACGCTCTCCTCCAGGTCTGCCCAAATGTCACTTCCCGGGAGGGACTCCCCCACGCCCTTGACTCTCCCACGCTGCTTGATTCTCCTTCGGGCACGTGCTTCTTCCCTCCAAGCCCTGTAGCTATTTGTTCATAGTTTTTTCTCTCCACAACAGATGCTTCCTGAGTGCGAGGGCTTTTACTCGCCTGTTTCCACAGGACAGTGCCTGGCAGGTGGAAGGTGTCAGGTAATATTAACAGAATAAGCAATTGGGTGTTGGGAAGGTCCCTTGGGAACTCCTGCGTGGGACCTAAGGAGGCCGAGAGGGAAAGCTGGGCGGGAGTCCAGAGAGGGGCTGATGGATCAAAATGCTGGACGGGACCTGAGGCCCAACTGGGGGCTGCCACTGTGAGGATGCGCCCATGCGCCCTGGTCCCCCAGCCCCCTGGTCCCCCAGCCCCTGCCCTGCCCCTCTTGCTGGCTGCACCACGTAGCTCTTGGCGACTACTCTTGCACTGAACCCTCGCCACCACCCTCCCATTCTACAGACCGTGGGCTGTCACCAGCGTGGACTTCCCCAAGTGCGCCCCGCACCGGCAGGGGCTGACTGGTGGCCCTTTGCATGATAGCGGGCCCTCTGACGCGCCTCTGCTCTCGGACTCGGGGGAAAAAAAGCCATACTTGGTCTGGTGGAAGGAAGCCCTCCCCCAGCAACGGTGCGGGGTTAGTGGGGCTTTGCAGGGCTAGCTGGGGGTAAGATCCGAGAACCGCTGTCCCCTACAGGCCACGCCTGCCTCCCTGGAGAAGAGGGGTCGGCCCGGATAAATCCCTTTTCGCACGCTCTGCTGACCCTGCACTCACCTCATCACCTCCCCCGTCTGCAATCAAGGGGGAAAGGCCCTTGTGGCAGGAAGGGGAGGTGGGGTGGGGACCACCAGCAGCAACCCAGCCTCCCAGCCCGTGGGTGGAGGCCAAATAAGGCCGGACTGGTTGCCCAGGCCCCGCCCCGCAGGGCGCACATTCTTCTGCCTTGTAAGGCCGGGCGCCTCGCCCCGCCCCCGCTCGGCCCAGCCCCTACCCTACGCCTGTCCGCACTGGGCTCCGCACCGGCTCCGCACCAGCCCCGCGCACAGAGAGAGCACCTTCTCCGCACCAGGTGGGTACTACCCAGGTGGTCTAGAGCAGGCCGTGTGGTAGCTGAGGCTGAACTTCGGACAGACCCCACGGACGGGGAAGTCATGGAGTTCCTGGGCAAGGACAGCCGCCCCTCTCGGGGTTTCAGCCTGCGACGTGGCTCGGTTGGTCAGGGATTCTAGCGGGCCGGGCAGCAGGGAGACTAGGACTGTTCTGGCCTCTGGGAACCAGTAGCCCTGGGGCAAAGGAAGGCTGGCTGGGCCCCGCCCGTCCCTTTTCTATGGAATTAGAGTCGCCAAGCTCAGAGCTCTTTGCGCAGGAGAGGGTGGGGGTTGTGGCCGCAGATGTCCCCTATCCCGGCAGACCATGTGTGTCTCAGACAGGAGCTGTGCCCTGTCAGCTCCTGGAGACTCTACAGAGCATCCCTGTCCCCTGCCCCATGTCCTGGGGCAAGAAGAGAGAGGGATGGATGGGGTAGGTTGTGCCCCATGCACCCGGGCTTCCCAGCTCTGGGCCATCTTGCCCATTTGTGCCTCTGAGATGGGGAAGGTCCCAGGGGCCCTGTGGGCTCAGCCCTGGGGGGCTGGAACAGAGACTCCAGCCCTGCTCTTCCCACGCCTGCCAGCCTCCAATGAGGTGACTTTATGAGGGACGCATCTGGCACTGCCAGCCGCCGGGCCCAGGAGGTCACGGGGGCCACAGGACTCGTCTTTGTTGTGATGGTGGGATGTCAGGCACCAGAAATGGGAAGGTGGCACCTAGTAACAGCCAAGCACCAACTCTGAGCCCTGGTGTCCAGCATCCCCAGTAGGAGGAGGCAGCCCGTCCTGACCCCAGTCCTTCAGCCGAGCCCAGAAACTGCCTCTGGTCACACAGAGCCCTCAGCTACCAGCAGGAGCCTCCCGGCCTGTATGTTTCCTTCCCTGTTCGGGCCCCGAGGGCACCAAGGGCCACCTGCCACCCTGTGACCCAGGCCCAGCCTGGGGGCCCTTCTCTCAAAGGGCGCCGCCACCTCTCTCAAAGGCACTGCCCGTCCCTCCTCAGTCCTCAGTTCTCTGGACTGTGCAGTGCGGGGCTCCCCACCTTCCCCACCCTGCTTCCCAGATTGCTGGGATGGGCACACTGCTAAGTTCCCTGCTCTCAGCTGAGGGTGGGGAGGGGGGCAGCGATGGCAGCTGAGGGGCCGTCCAACAGCCGAGTGGTGGGTGACCTGGCCAGGGCTGCCTCCAGCCGTGCAGACGTGAGTGGCGATCCCCACCACAGTGTGTGCACGGCCCCCTCTGTGGGAGCTGAGTCAAACCTCCCAGACAGCACTGCCTGGTGGCAGCATCACCCCACTCAGGTTGTGGGGGAGAAGGGCTTCTGTCTGCCTGCCGAGGACCAGGTGTGTCAGCCAAGTGGGACACGACACAGCAGCCGGTGTCTCTCGACGGAAGGCAGCGGTGGCCCTGGGGACAGGCTAGGGCCGGCCAGTACACAGCTCAGGATTCGAGATCTCAAAGGGCAAACCCGAGAATGACTTGAACAGCATCGTGGGACAGAGGCCTGGGGACAGTGCAGGGAACACTCACCACCACACAGTTGGGGGGTTAAACGACTGGTGGGGAAGGCTCAGACCAAGGGGCTCAGCACGGAGGAAAGGGGGCAGCAGCCTGGGGCCTTGGCCAGACCTCAAGCTGCCCAGCTGCGGGGCCACAGTGCTAGGCCTTCAGGGGCAGTCCCCACAAGCATAACTGGGGTTCAGGGAGAGTCTCTTGCTGGGCCTCAGTTTCCCCATCTGCACAGCAGGGACAGCAGACCAGCCAGAGACACCCTCACAGTCACTTGATAAACAAGCATCCAGCAGCCCCACTATGCGCTTTGGTGTAAATCGGGGTTTACGCCAGCTTGACTGACCGTGAGGGAGAGGCCTCTTTTTTTTTTTTTTTAAATCCTCACCCAAGGATGCATCTTGAGAGGAAGGAAGAGAAAAAAACATATCAGTTGCCTTCCATACACAACCCAACCAAGGGCCTGAACCTGCAATATAGGTGTGTACCCTGACCGGAACCAAACCTGCAACCTTTTGGGGTGTATGGGACGATGCTCCAACCCACTGAGCCACCCGGCCAGCGCCAGAAAGACCTGGAAGTGCTGACTGTCAAAGCAAAGGTGGGGGGACTACTCCCTAAGGGGGTGTCTCAGAACTAGGCTGGATGCCCTGGCTGGTGTGGCTCAGTGGATCCAGCTCCAGCCAGAGAACCAAGTAGCTGCCGGTTCAACTCCCAGTCAGGGCACATGCCTAGGTTGCCGGCCAGGTCCCCAGTTGGCGACATGCAAGAGGTGACTGATCTGTATTTTTCCCCTCTCTTTCTCCCTTCATTCCCCTCTCTCTAAAAGTAAACAAATAAAATCTTTTTTTTTTTTCTTTTAAGAAATAGGCTAGAGAAGGAAGTACATCCCAAGAAGAGGGACCAAGAAGACAAGTCTGGGGGTGTCTGGGGAAGCCCACGGTCCAGTTTGGCAGAATCACAGATGGCAGGAGAGACACAATGAGGGGTCCTAAGGTCAGCTGGAGAGAAGGCCCTTGACTGCCAGGCTGAGGGGCCTAGACTTGCCCTGGACGGTGGCAGGAACCTGGAGGGCTTCCAGGGGAAGTGACAGGGACCCATCTGCACAGATGGGAAAGACTGGCAGGAGGCCAGGTCTAAACACGGGTGAGGACAAGCAGGGCTTCTCAGCCCAGGGGAGCCTCGCACCCCTGTAAGCACTAAGGAGTCAGAAGGAGGAGTAGGGGCTGGTCAAGTGTGGGCAGCTGTGGGGAGGGGCGAGCAGGCAGTGCAGAGGGATGGGGGGGAGGAATGTCAGGAATGCAGGGTGGCAGGGTGGCAGGGTGGTGGCTGCAGCTCCTGCCTGCGGCGGGGGCGCGGGGTGGCAGGAAGCCCCACCATGTCACTTGGAGGGAGACAGCAGTGTGTAAATGTTATTAAGGATTAAAGGAGATAAGCATGGAAACGGATGGCTTGGAACCCAATCCTAAGCGTTTCACCCAAACAGTCACAGTAAAAAGAGCTTGCTCTGTGCCTGGCGCCATTCCAGGGCCTTCTCAGGCACGAAGTCAGTTAACCACTAAGTCCCCACTCCCAGACGACAAGGCGCACTCAGCCAGGCAGAAGGAGCTGGTTAAGGGCCTTGCACATCTGCTTTGGGACATGCTGGGCAGCAGGAGCCCCGAGCCTGTGGAGAGCACTGAACACCGGGCCCAGGCACCGATGGCCGGTGCAGGGTAGGCGGGGTTCCCTGGCCCGAGTCCCAGGCTCTCCCCCAACATGCTCTTCCTGCAGGGAAGCCCCACCCACCGGAAGCCAAGATGTCCAGTAAGCGGGCTAAGGCCAAGACCACCAAGAAGCGGCCACAGCGGGCCACGTCCAATGTCTTCGCAATGTTCGACCAGTCCCAGATCCAGGAGTTTAAGGAGGCCTTCAACATGATCGACCAGAACCGAGATGGCTTCATTGACAAGGAGGATTTGCACGACATGCTGGCCTCGCTGGGTGAGCGGGGACGGGTGGGCCTGGGAAAGGCTGCCCTGGCGCGGGCTGTGGGCAGCTCGTCACTCACAGAGCACTTCCTGCACAGTGACGGGGCGCCCACCCTGGAGAGCAGGTGCCATTACCTTCCCCACTTAACAGAGAGGAAAACTGAGGCATAATTCACCATCACTCAGATGGGGAAACTGAGGCCCGGAGGCCTGGCCTCCAGATACCGCCGCCTCAGCCTGGGGCCCTGCCCTCCTCGTGTGCTGGCCAGACAGCCACCTGCGCCCCTTTATCCAGGTGGGGGCAGCAGAGGGGGCAGCTCATGCTCCGAAGCTCTGGGGCCACACAGGCCTGTGTTATTCCGTGGCACCGCCCCCCACAGCTGGGTGGCCCCGCTAGTGCCCGAGGCCCTTGTGTCACCCCTAGGGTGTCTGGTGGGAGGGCTGACGTGAGACTCTGCCTCCACCGTGGGTGCCAAACCTCTCCCAGCTTCTGGCCAGATCCACTCGAAGGCCCCCTCCCCAAGGAGGTCCCCTGGCCTGATGAAGGGAGGGGCTGTGGTCCCAACGTCACAGCCATCCCTGGAGACACAGCAGGGTGAGCACGGCTCAGAGGAGACAGGGACATGAAGACCCCTCCCATTTATGAGGCAACACCCTGCAGCCAGGGCCCTAACGCCCAGAGACCCGGCGACAGCCCTGGGTGTCTACCCAGGGACACCCACCCTCCTGTGCAAAGCTCCAGTCAGTGGCTGCTGACCAGCCACAGCCTTCTGGGTAGAGATATCATCCTTGGGTTAAAAAAACAAGAGCCAAGAGCGGCAAACAAAATAGTATTTGAAACCGCCTGGAATCTGGGGTCTGGCTGCCTGGGTTTGAATGGCGGCTCCACTCCGTCCCCACTGTGTGACCAGAGTCACCTCTCTGCCCTGGGCTCCACACCCATTAAGTGGGTGTAAGAACGCCGACCCCCAAGGGGTGATGCGGGTCAAACGCAGCGGGGGGTGGGCAGCACCAGGGGCAGCACCAGGCACAGCGAGCAGGCGGCGGCTCTCACGGGCTGGAGAGCACTTCCGACCTTGGATACCCAGCCCAGAGGAGGGAAGTTGGCAGGGCTGGGGAGGACGTGGGGGGCAGGGGGCGGTCACACAGCGGGCTACCCAGCAAGATGCCGACCGTGTATGAACTTCCTGTCTCCTGTCTGTGGCCATCGGTCACACTGGGCCACGAAGGGAGGGTCAGGGAGGTGGGAGGAGGCAGGCGATGACCACAGGCATGAATGCCCCACCCACCACAGGGAAGAACCCCACGGACGAGTACCTGGAGGGCATGATGAGCGAGGCCCCTGGGCCCATCAACTTCACCATGTTCCTGACCATGTTTGGGGAGAAGCTGAACGGCACGGACCCGGAGGACGTGATCCGCAACGCCTTCGCCTGCTTCGACGAGGAGGCCTCAGGTGGGCGGCCTCCTGGAGGCCTGCACAGGGCTGGGGCTGAGCCCTCACCTAAGGCAGCCCCCTCCCCGTGCAAGTGGGGCCTGCCGAGCTTGGGCTTCGGGCCCCTGCCCCCACAGCAGAACGGAAATCACCCATCTGCTGCTTTCGGGCCCCGGAACTGCAAAAGACACGCTGTCCTCTCCCAGGCGCTAAACCTGAACAGTCCACATCCATCCGGGGTCCCCACCTCCTAGTTCATGCTGGCCCCACGCACTGTCTCTGCTTCAGACCTTTCCAGAAAACAGACCCTCTGGCCAACAAGGTGCAGAAGTCAGCCCCACCCTCAGACCTTCAGAAGGACTTCCTGTCCCTCAGCTTGTCCTTCCCAGGGTCAGGTGGGCGCGGTTTCAGTCGTGACTTGGAGGCTCGGGCCCCGCTTTGTCTTCAGCCCCATTGCCAATTCAAACAGACACAGAAAGGGTAAGGAACTTGCCCAAAGTCACACAGCCAGGAAGAAGGGGGATCAGCATTCCAATTCAGGCACAGAACTCTGGGCCTCATGTTCTCACAGCAGGACAAGCCCGGGCCCCCGCCCTCAGCCCCCAATTCTCCACAGAGACGCCTCGCAGACAGTCCCACCACAGAGCTCTTCCCTCTGGGGCGCTGGCGAGCTCAGCCGGACCGGAGGCGAGGGCCGTGTGGGTTCCTGGGCCCCGTGCCCTGCTGCCAGGCCTGCAAGCCTGGGGAGGAAGGGGAGACGTGGTAGGGGATGCTGGCTGTGCGTCCCAGCCTGAGTCCCAGTGTTTCCCGGCCCTGGCCCTACCCCCAGGTTTCATCCACGAGGACCACCTTCGAGAGCTGCTCACCACCATGGGCGACCGCTTCACAGACGAGGAAGTGGACGAGATGTACCGCGAGGCCCCCATTGACAAGAAAGGCAACTTCAACTATGTGGAGTTCACCCGTATCCTCAAACACGGTGCCAAGGACAAAGATGACTAGGCCCCGTGCCCAGGCCCCCGTCCCCGTCACCTGCTCCCCCCACACACAGTCTGCACCTGCTCCACGCCCACAGGGCTCCCTCAGGGGGGCCTCCCTCTGAGGGGTTAAGGGCCAGGCTCCCACTGGGGGAAACAGGCCGAGAGAGAGCAGAGCCAGGCCCGGTCACGCAGCCAGTGTAAGGCAGGCGTGCCCACTGCGACCCTCCAAGTAAAGGTCATCCAGAGGCTGGGCGGGGGCGAAGGGAAGGCCCCACGGGAGAGCCCAGGCCGCAGCTGCTGCCTACCAGGAGTGGGCCGTCCCCACAGGAAGGGCCCAGGTCCTGCCCTGGGGCACCACGTCACCCCATGCGGGGCATGAAAGCCCTTTCCTAGCCACTGCCACAAACACACAAACCTCACCACCGTCCCTCCTCAGAGGACAGGATGACAGAGCCCTCCCCTGAGCCCTGCCCCCACCCCACCGGGAAGGTCCGGAGGGTGGAGCTTGTCCCAGGAGGCGGAGTTCCTAATACATGGCTGAGCACTGCTTTGGGTCTGTGTGCCTTTGGTCTGTGCCAGAAGGGCCCCAAACCTGCTCCCGCCTTCGACCATCCCCAGTGGCTGCACAACCTCCCCTCCACCCCCCACTCCCGAGGTTCGGCTGGGCCTAGACCAGCAGACGGCGTGGACAGAGGTGCTGAGGGAAATGCGCCCCCTGGGAGGGCGGAGCAGGGGAGACCCACAGGAATCAGGAGAGCAAATCCCAGTGCGGGGTTCTGGGCCTCTGGGGGGGGGGGGGGTCAAGGTCATACAGGCTTCAGGACTAGAGCCTGGATCGCCAGGGTCGCCTCGGTCTCCGGGAAGAACAGGGAGGCTTTGGAAACTGAGGAGGGCGAATCCCAGGAGCTCGGGGGCAGAAGCGGGAATGAACAGGTGTAACGGTCGTCGTGAGGGCAGCTCCGGGCTGCTCTGAACTGCACCCTCTGAGGCTGGGGGGTCACGGCAGCCACATGACCAGCAATGCAGTTGGCACAGCTGTTTACATACCACATGCAGAGCGGTGGGCCCGACAGGGCCTGTTAATCCGAATGATGGGGACAAGCACACTGTGCCTGGGTTCGGAGGAGCGGAAATACTGGCGGAACAGAGCCAAGACACGCAGGGACTGCCTGAGGTCACCTAGTGTGCGGAGCACAGAGAGGGCTGGACGCACCCCACCTGACCCCAGCAATGGCCAGGGAGCAGATGAGGGCCCGGCTCAGTCCTGCTGCCCTCCCTGAAGGTCACCCAGAGCCTGTCAGCCACAGCACGCAGAGAGGGTCCCAGATCGGCACTGAGCACTAAGACGACCCCACACCGGCCCGGGAGGCCCTACCCTCCCACAGCCTCTGCTCCAGGCCCTGGTCAGATTCCCATAAAACCCCTGCTATTGTGTCCACACGGAGCCCCACAAGTCCCTGACCTCAACTCCACAGGGAGCCAGCTCTGGAAAAGTTCCCGCTGGGCCCCAAGTACGGCCCCAGGCTCAGTCCCAACCACAGCTTGACCGCAGCCCCAGACTATGGGCCCTGAGCATCCCCCCAGCAGCCTGGCCACCACTCACTGCAGCCGGCCCTGAGAGAGTCCCAGGGCACTGGCCGTGCTCTGTCACAGGTCCTTCTGCAGGGCCACTGCACCACCAAAGGCCTTCCTTCCTGGGAGAAGGCAGGGACCTGGGCTGGGGACACTGGTGGAGGGACAGACTGACCACTGGAATGGAGAGTCCAGAACAGACTCACATCTGTGGGACTTGTTACATGACAAAGGTGACAGATGAGAGGGGAAAGGAGGGACACACTAAATGGAGCTGACACCCACTGACGGGGCCACGATGCAAACCCCCCAGTACCCCGCATTGGTGAGGGGGAGCAGGGGGCACCCAGAATTCTCACACGCTACAGAGGGGCGGAGACAGAAACAAGCCCTTTGGGAAACTGGCTGCAGCTGAACGGACCTCGACCCTCGGACACGATTCCTCCCCTCAGTGTGTGCGCACGCACCCGACCGAACCGCGGACACGCGTTCACCACCAGGCAGGGGCCGGAGTGCTCAGGGCAGCACCGCTGTCACAGCCCATCCACAGTGGGAACAGCCCGCCCTGCCACCAACAGAACGACAGGGACCACAAACCCACAGTGCCAGGCGTCGGCACAGGTAAATCTCACTAGCGAGTCAAGGAAAAACAAAAAAACAAGTAGAGGAGGGCTCCATCAGGGACCAAAATTACACTGGCTTTTTCAACAGAGATTGTTTAAGATAAATAACTGTTAACTAGCTACAAAGTTTAAATGAATAACGAAGGGTGAAAAGAGAACAACAGGCCTTTTGAAAATTTGGGAGAAGTACAAAGCACAGTGGAAAACTTGAGTAGAGTGACCCACACAAAGAAAGCGCAAATAAAACAAAACGTTTGCAAGTGTATGTCTGATGAGGGACTTGTATATAAAGAATTCTCACGAACGCAGTGAAGAAAGAGAAGTAACCCAATTTAAGGACGGGCAAAGGACATGGCAAGACCTTTCTCCAAAGAAGGCGTGTAAACGGCCAATAAGCAAATGCAAACTGCCTGGCAGCCCCAACATCACACTGGGCCCTTTGAAGGCAACCCCGCGGCTGATGTGGCCCCGGTGACAATGAGTCTGACACCCCTGGTCAGAGAATGAAACGCTGATCCGTGCCCCTGCGTGGACACACCACGATGTGTGACCAAAGTCCGTAATGAATGACCGCATATGGGCTGCATTTCTTTTTTTTTTTTTAAGATTTTATTTATTTATCTTTAGAAGGGAAGGGAAGGAGAGAGGGGAACATCAGTGTGTGGTTGCCTCTCATGTGTCTCCCAGGGGGACCTGGCCTGCAACCCGGGCATGCTCCCTGACTGGGAATCAAACCGTGATCCTTTGGTTCACAGGCCCGCGCTCAATCCACTGAGCTACGCCAGGGCAGACTGCGTTTCTATGCCACGTCCAGAACAGGGAAATCCACAGAGAATAGGCAGACTGGTGTTGGCCTCCATTTGGGGTGGGGAGGGTGGGGGGTGGCGAATGAGATTAGGCTTCGCTGGTAGTTGCACAAATCTTTAAATATACTAAAATTACCTGACCATACACTAAACGGGTGAATTTCATGGTGTGTAAATTACATGATCAATAAAGCTGTTAAAAACAAATATAGTAACCAGTCAAAAAAAACCCCTCCTAACGTTTCTGTAAAGTTCTTTTTTTTTCCTCTTCAAAGGCTAGTAGTACATTTGAACCATGAGAACTTCCATGTCTTTATTTTCTGGAAATTGACGTATTTCCCTGTATTTATGCAAAGCCCAGTGGCTCTGATAAACCAATCAAACAAACCTCCTTAACCTGAAGCGATGTTGCCGGTTCTCTTGCTAATCAGCACACTGACTGTGGAGGTGGCGGCGTCTCAGACTCACGCAGACGCTGTAAACCTCCAGCTTCAGTTCTGCCACCTCAGTCACGTGGCTTCACTGAAAACCAAGACACACAAAAACCCACCGGCCCAAACCTCAATGGGCTGGTCTGCTTTCAAAGCTTCCCTAATTCTGTTTCTCTCCATTTTTTCTTCATTGACTGGAAGCTCACAAATAGACAAGCAAACTATCAGAAAAAAACACTAACATCCAATTCTCTCTTGTCTCCCAATGGATAAAAAATAGATTGCCACTGTCCCGACAGATATCAACAAATAGACCATAAAATCAATTTTCAATCACTGCCGCCAGCAAGGGAGATGGCTTCTCAAGGACTGGGACCAAAACAGAGTCAGAAAATGGAAGGGAGAGGGGGGGAGGGAAAGGAAAAAGGCGTGGAGGGAGAAACAGAGTCAGTGAAGGTCAAGTTTTACTGATGCTTAAAATTCACTCCCTGGGCCAGAAAATGACGTGTCTCGAACAGCCCATGAGACCCCTTCACGGTCAAGTTCTACTGGCTCCGGTCGGTGGTCCACGGAGCATCACAGGGGGATGTCCTCCCAACACAGAGCCTGCTGCTCAGGAAGTTACACATGACTCGGACATCCCACCAAACACCTGGCGGTACTGCTCAGAACCGTCAAGGCATCGGAAACAAACTGACAGATTCGGAAATAAGGCAAATATCCTGCAAACGGTAAGTGGACAAACAAACTGAGCAGGACAGTTTGTCCACTGAGTGGACAAACAAACTCATCCTCCTCAGGAAGTATCCGACTGCCCACGGGCATGCCACACGAGTGAACCCAGTGAACCGCAAAGACATTATGCAAGAGGAAGCAGCAGGCTCAAAGGGCTAGATACCCTACGATTCCATTGTTATGACGGTCTGGATATGGCAGAACTACAGGCAGAAAACAGCTGAGGCTGGCCAGGAGCTGGAGGTGTGGACGGGAAACCGTAATCTGTAATTCCAGGGGCGGTGACATGACTGTTCTTATCTTGATTTTGGTGGTGATTATATGAAAGTATGTCTGTCAACACTCATTTTTTTAAGGATGAATTTTACTGCAGTACAATGAAACAAGGCGGCCCAGGCCAGATCGCTCAGCTGGTTAGAGCACTGTCTGGATATGCCAAGGTTGAGGGTTCGATCCCTAGCCAGGGCACATTAAGAATCAACCAATAAATGCATTAATAAGTGGAACAACAAATCAATGTTTCTCTCTCTTTCAAATCAATAAATCAATAAATTAAAATGTCTTCTTTAAAAATAAATAAATCTGAGAAAAATGTCAAAAACATATGTAATTTTTCATATGACCTCCCCTGTTTTACAGAAGGGTTTTGGGGGCCCAAGGTCACCCTGAAGAGGAACTGGGGTTCAGACCCAAAGTTAAGTTGGATTAAGTTCAGCTGCTAGTATCATACTTATCGGCTTGTGAGAAAGATACACAAGTACATAAGCTGCATTCCAAGTTTACAAGGGAAGCTCTGGGGAAATAACCGTGAGGTCAGAAGCAACACAAGGCAGGAATTCAGAGAACTAAATCGGCTGCACTTGGAGTTCTGCCATTGGTTAGCTGCGTGAACTCGCGAGCACTGTTCAAGGTCCCCGAGGCCGGTCTCTGCATCTACACACGGGATAAACGCCCATCGCATGCAGTCATTATAAGGTTAAGGTATAAAATATATAGAACAGTGCCTAGTACACAGGAAGTACTACTTTTTCAAGAGTTATTACATAAAATGAATTTTAAAATACATATACTGAATGAAACCTCAAGTGGTTTTATAGGAAAAAAGCACTTTTGTTATGTAATAAATACAGTTCAGAAGATTCTAGTAGGAATTCACAACTCTGGAAAGGCGAAAACTCCCAAAAGCTCAGAAAAAATGGCATCAGTTAACAGGGACACACTGTAAGTAATAAGACACTGGCAAATGGAGCCCATTTCATGAATATAAAACAAAAATACCCACGCTGCACTCACGCGGATAAAAAGCAAGCCACAATGCAAAAACACTGACGATAAACCCGTCCTTGCAGAAATGGTGTGTGTTGTCCCACTTCCCCCCAC